GGCTAGGGGTATAGGGATCAGGATACAGGGATAGGGATAAAGACATAGGGTACAACAAGGGATAGGATAAAAGGCAGCGGGATCGGGATAGAGATAGGGATACAGGTCGACAGTGCGACACTGCGGGGGACAATGGGAGACAATGAGGATAGGGATGGGGATAGAGATTCGGATTGACAATGGGAGACGATGTGGGACAATGGGAGACGATGGAAGACGATGCGAGACAACGGCAGACAACGGAAGACAACGGGAGACAATGGGAGACAATGGGATGTAACGGGAGGTAACGGGATACTACGGGAAACAACCTCGCGGGAGATCACGGGAGACCAGGGTGCCCGACAGATTCCAGATCTGGCGATCGCCGTACTCGGCTTCTTAGAAGAATGACACCATACCCTCAAAGATAAGCTGTTTAGGGAATACCTTCACGCTGGCGATAAACGAACACCTCCCATCTATATATGTGTATGTGTATGTGTATGTGTATGTGTATGTGTATGTGTATGTATATGTTTATATATGTGTATGTGTATATGTATATGCATATGTATATGTATATGCATATGTATTTGTATATTTATATGTGTATGTATGTATGCAAGTATGCATGTACGTCTGTCTGCCTGTATGTATGTATGCATGTATGCATGTACGTCTGTCTGCCTGTATGTATGTATGCATGTATGTATGTGTATATACGTGTATAGTGGTGTACGTGATGTATATGTGCATATCTACATACAAAGGTCTGCATATACATACATATATAGAGAGAGAGAGGACAAACACACATAACGAGAGAGAGAGAGAGAGAGACGGTAACAAGCTGGGGTGCGTCATGAAAGACACACTGGGCGCCCCCTCAATCCTATCCGTAACACCAAGGCCTCATATACACACGACCGCTCCACTCTCTCAAACACTTCCAGTTTATGCTTGCCCACGCCTCCGGCAGTAGGCCAAGATCGTGCAAGATGATCCCGAGGCTGTGCCTCATCCTGCCGACTTTCAGGTTGTCGTCTCCGAGACGCTTCGTTTCGACCTGCAGTGCTGCTTCGAGCTCATGTCGTGCCTGGGGGACCTCCTTCAGGTCCTTCAGAACGCTGCTGAGGATGATCCTCGACCTGGCAACATCTGGGTGGTATTCCCCGAACCGCCGCCGTGAAACCTTCAGTGCAGCCTCGAGTTCCTGCCGAGCCTCCTGCACCCATCCAAGGTCGTACAAGACCGCGCCGAAGTCAATTCTGGTTCTGGCGACCTCCTGGTGCTCGTCCCCGAAGTGCTGCCTCATGGCCTGCAGAGCCGCCTCCAACTCCCGCCGCGCTTCAGGAAGCTGCTTCAAGTCAACCAACACACGACCAAGAGCGCGCCGTATCCGAGCGACCTCGGGGTGGTCGCCACCGAGGCGCGGCTGAAGAACCCTCGCGGCTGCCTCGAGCTCCCGTCGCGCCTCCAGCAGCTGCCCGCGCTCCATCAGGATGGCGCCGAGCTTGCCCCTGAGCGTGGCGACCTCTGGATGGTCCTCGCCGAGGCGCTGCCCGCTCTCCTCCAGCGCTGCCTCGATCTCTGGGCGTGCCTCGGACAGCCTCCCGAGGTCCATCAGGACGGTGCCAAGAAGCTTCCTGACCCTGGCAACCTCCAGGTGGTCGTCCCCGAAGTGCGGCCGCAGGATCTGCATGGCCGCCTCGAGCTCCCGCCGCGCCTCCTGCAGCTGCCCGCACTCCGCGAGGACGGCACCGAGGCCGCTCCTGAGCGCGGCAATCTCAGGGTGGCCCTCGCCGAGGTGCTCCCTCATGACCCTCAGCGCCGCGTCGATCTCCCGCCGCGCCTCTGGCAGCTCACCGAGGCGGAGTAAGACGATGCCGAGCCGCCCCCTGGTCCAGGCGACGTCAACGTGGCCATCCCCAAGGCGCTGCCTCCGGACCCCCAACGCCGCCTCGAGCTCCAGCCGCGCCTCGGGCAGCTGTCCTAGGTCCGTCAGAACTTGGCCGAGGGTGTGCCGTATCCTTGCGGTGTCCTGGCCGTCGCTGGCCGGACTGTCGACCTCCAGCGCTGCCTCGAGCTCCTGCCGCGCCTCTGGCAGCTGCCCCAAACCCAGTAGGACGCTGCCTAGGTTCGCCCTCGCTCTGGAGACCTCTGGATGGTCCTCGCCGAAATGCTGCCTCAAGTGCTTGAGTGCTGCTTCGAGCTGCTCTCGCGCCGCCGGCAGCTCCTCAAGGTCGAACAAGACGCTCCCAAGGCTTCTCCTGGTCCTGGCGACCTCCTGGTCATCGTCCCCATATTGCCGCCTCAGGACCTGCAGCGCGGCTTCGAGCTCACGCCGCGCCTCAGGCATCTGCCCCAGATCCATCAGCACGCCACCGAGGGCGCGCCTCGTCCTTGCGACCTGCAGGTCGTCGTCTCCGAGGTTCTGTCTCTCGATTTGCAGCGCCGCCTCCAGCTCCTGCCGAGCATCAGGCAACTGTCCTAAATCGATGAACAGATCCGCCCGCCC